TTTCATGTGAAACCATATACATATGGTTGAGTGACTAAAGGCAAAAAGTCAGGTCTGTTATTTGTAATATTTCTTCACATATTTTCTTTTTCCTTTTACAATGTCAAATTCATTAAGGTCTTCAAATTACAGTATGAGATATAGACCTAAATACAATTGTGGTTTCCAATTTTTAAAATGCCCAGGAGTCTAGGAAACTTGGAGTGATTCTTCACAGTGAAAACGATATTTCAAAAAATTTCAAAGGAAGCTGTACTGCGTAACTCCAGCTGAAAATCTCTGATTTTGGTTATTAAAAAGAAAAAAACATACTTCACAACCTTAAATAGATATCTCAAAATAATTTAATGGCTTGTGTTTCTTCAATTAATAATGAATGGAAAAACAGAAAATTAGGTATTTCTTAATGCAGTAATATTGACGTCTCAAAATACGGATTGACACTCTGAAATCATTGCATTAGAGCTACCCTGGCTCACAGCAGAATTCTGAAGGCTTTGGTGAAAAACTGAAAGTTTTGGATTAGCTAGTCTTGGTCTTGGTGATTAGTCTTAAGTTGTGCATCCTGCTACATTTTACTGTCGCATCTTGAAATGGATATCTAACTCACATATCTTCATATGAACAACTAAACATGGTCAATTTTCAGCCTTTAGATGCTACATTTCTATTAAATTTGACATGGTTCTCAGAAAAATATGTTGCTGCATCCTCAACGTGAAGTTTGTGTGCTCTGGGTGACTGGGACCAAAAAAACAGAGAAACCTTCTCAGATTTGTAAAGTAGTAACCTTTGGAATTCCTAATTGTTTTGATGTTTAATTCTTTTTCATGCTAATTCAATGAAAACCAGACTAAAATATATTTGTATCTGACACATCAATTCATTTTTAAATTTGCTTTTTCTTAAAAAAATGTAATTTGTGCTTGGGCTTAGAGCATCATTCTTGTATTTGAGGAAATTGCCTTACTTTCAAGTCATTCAGGGAAGAAAAAGAAAATACTCCTTTAAACTCGAAGGCCATTGCCTATCTGGTTTGTGTAAAGAGGAATGCAGTGGAGCACCATATGTGGAGAGAAGAGAATGGGCTATAAGGCTCTCCAGGTCTCCAGGGAGCACAGCTGCTGTTTGTAGTGTTGGCACTGCGTGAGCAGAGAAGGCTGCCTTACACAGTGCTGATCAACTCAGTGCTTTGCCTCCTTGCTCTTCCGATGGGATCTGGCTTTCCTGCCTCACAGGATGCAGATCACCTGCAAGCATCACTGACATCCAGAAGGTCACTGCAATCTCATCCAAAGTGTGGTCTCCCCAGATGTGATTTAGAATGTGTATAACTAAAATGCTGCTGGACAGGGTACTAATTCCCCACCACTGTGTGCTGAATCCCTGCCTCATTTAAAATAGAAGTTTACAAAATTAAGGAAGATGGGTCCCAAATCAGCATACAGTGACTCAGAAAGCGGTATTTTAACCTAACATTTTACCTGTAAGGATAGTGCTATGCTTGACCGAATACAATTATTGATGTGCTTCATGAAAATTGTGCAGGAGGAGACTGTACATATAGATATTTCTCAAAATTTTGTTACTTTTTATATTCTGAAATAATATAAAACTCTTAGTTATAGAAACCTTACTGCAAATCTGGTGAAAACCATGGTTATTTTTTCTCAACAAACCAGTGTTTTTTTCAAAATTTTCTCATGTATCTTAGTTTAGATGATTTACTCGTGAATCATTTTTTTAAGTTTTATGTTTTCAAACATCTTAATATAAAGCAAAGTAATTTTAAAAAGATATTTCTTGCTTATTTTTTCATTTCCTCTGTAACAGTAATAATGTCTTTGTATCTAGAGTACAGACTGGTTTTACCATATTCGTAGGACTATCCCAAACTAGTGTCATAGTGCTAGTTTGTGTTAGTCAAGAAAACCTGTCCTGGGGTGATGGCTCAGGTCCTCGGGGCCCTGCTACCCACTTGAGATACTGGCTTGGAATTCTAGGCTTTTGCCTTCATTCTGTCCCAGCACCAGATGATGTGGGAGTGAGCAAGCATCTAGAAGATCCCACTTGCTCTACCTGTCACTGTGTTTCTGCCTGTAAAGTAAATAAAAGCGAATTAATAGAAATCTTAAGTCAAGATGTGCTCTGCTTTTCTTATGTCTGCATTGCTTACCTAACATCTAGTGCCAACATACATTGGGTAGAGGCTGACTTTCCTCATGACAGTGATCTTTGGTTTTAACTAGCACCTTCAAATCTTTTTTCTTTTTCAATGTGTCAAACAAGATTGAGTAGTGTAAAGGAGTACAGGAGGAGCAAAAGATTGCAGAAGAGATATAAATGTTTAAGACGAGTAAGGATTTCATTTCGTTTTAAAAACTCACTCTATATGTTTTCTGTCTGTTGTCATAAATATGTTTATCAAGATGCAATATTATACAAGTCTGTGTCATATTCTTGCTTCCAGTTGGCATCTGAGAGTAGGTTGGCAGCCCTAAGTCATACATGTACACATAATATGAATATATGGAAATATATGCACATGTTTGTTTTTCATACATAAATCTGTAACCATGGATTTATAATTACATAGATATGCTTGGATTTAGTCTATCATGTTAAAAATTACTACATTTATATAAGTGTGCATACTTATATAAAATTTTATTCTTAGTTGGCATCACTCAACATGTTAGCATCTTGTACAAACTTAAGCTTTTTTTTTTAAGATTTATCTATTTTTATTGGAAAGACAGATTTGCAGAAAGAAGGAGAGACAGAAAGATCTTCCCTCTGCTGGTTCACTCCCCAAATTCCATATTGGCTGAAGGCCAAGCCAAACAAGAGCTGGCGACCATGTGGGATGCCTGTGCTTGCAGGTGCAGGAATAGCCAGTAGAGCCATTGTGCAGCCCCCAAACTTCTAAGTTTTCATTTGCTGTGTGTGCATGTGTGTCTGAAACTTGACTATTAGAATTTGTATATTGTTTATTATCATATTCATTTAGTTCTTTCAATAACTGCATAAACATTATCAATATATGCAATTATTATATGTACCATTCAGAAGTTAATTTTAGAAAGTAGTAAAGGGCTTTTCTTCACCAACTGAATCAAATAATGTATTGTCAGCCCGAAAGTATGGTAAGCTGGAAAGGGAAGAACCAATTACATCATTAGGGTAAGAAGTAAAATTAATGTAAGTACCATTTTTTATAGGTAGAGTAGATTTATGTACTTCACAAATTAAATTAGATGTTTCTATATATGTGTGAATGTGTACCAAAAAAAGAATATAAAACAGGAAGGAACTGCGCATAAGCTTAGGTTTAATTAATGGTAGCATACTCTATTTTTTCTGTCGCTATAATTTTGAAATGTATTATGAAGGTTGTGGAGGCAATTTTTGAAAATTATTCCTAATGCAGATGACAAAAAGTAGCTTTACTTTTAAATTTCTAATTGATAACATTAATAACACACCTTTTAGATTATACTATTACAAGAAGATGCGAAATAACTGAGGTGTGAGCAGATAAGCAATGACTTTAACCAGCTAGTAATTCTAAACAAAATTTTCTGTATTTTCTGAAATATGAAATCCAAATATTATTAACATTGCTTTAAGATGCATTTATAAGAAGTGTATGTGTTTGTGTGTATATGTTTTTGTATATATACTCAATATTTTGGAAATATTCACTTATTTTACCAATGTGTCTACTTAATTTATCTTTGCAATTATCTTTTAATCTTTCAATCTTTTGGGGTTGGCCTAAGAAATAAAATCAGTACTCAGTTTGCCCCTAGAGAAAAACTTACTCTTAGATTGTTCTATGTGATTGCTTGGTATATAACATTAGAATATATGCAATGGAACCAATGAAGTATGAGATGATGAGTTACTGTAATTTGAACATGAAGAAGAAAATTCAAACTTATCTATGATTTACAAAATCTTCATAGTAAAGTAAGGCTTTCTTGTTGTTGTTAAATGGATAGTTCATTTTTTTTGTGCCAGCTAATTATTCACATGGAAAACCATTTTTAGTTTTTTTGAGTCACAAAGGGTAGTCATGTGTCATTGAGTGTCACTAGTTAGTCATTTGTGAAAATACAAACTCTACTCTTTAAGCTAGTGAAATCTTTTGTCAAAGATTTCTTTTGGCTACTAATAGGAATATGTTTAGAAGCTAGTAATTGATGAGTAGTGATGGTCGCATTGGTGTGAGCTTTGTTGTAGTCCCATCATAAAAGATACTCCAGAATGCAGAAATCATTTGGATAAATTTAGACATCAGCCTTACAGAGATTGCAATCATATTACATATTGCAATTTTATATGTAAAACCTATGGTGTAGATTTTAACTTTTGGTTTCAGTTTTGTTATTTTAAAGGTGATGCAATTGATTCATAGTCATTCAAACTGCATGCAGTGCTTCATGTGTGGCACATCGACAGTGTGCATGGATGATTGTGAGTTTTGAAACAGAAAAATAAATAAAGGAAGATCTGTTGTGAAAACTGATTAGTGTAAGAAGTTAACCAGAAAAGGGGAATTCCTTCCTTTTCCCTGATGGGATTGTAAAATCGATGTGCATGTTATTTTGACTCTGAAATGGCTCGCTCAGACTGATATAGACTTCCTGCGAAGTAGACACAGATTTCAAGTACGTGTATTAGCCAGCACCCAATCACTGGTACATGACTTGAACCTTACCTTTATTGTGACTACTGTAAATAGTCACCAAGGTGCACTTGCAAAAATTTCAAGACCAATATATTCTATCATTATATTCAGTAAGCTGAAATTAAATTTAGTATTCTACTTTTTGTAATTTTTAAGATTAAACATTTCTTTATTAGATGTTGCAATTTACAAGTCATTATGTTATGTATTGTTGACTAAAAATATTGCTGAAATGTAAAGGAGAAAATCTAATTTTATATTGACATAGAAAGAAAGCTTAACTTGTTTTCTTGCTCTTTTTTTATAGAGAACACCTGTTCCCAGCGCTGAAGCATTCCGATGGTTCTTTTAAAGCAGTAGTATATCTTATTTTCAAGGCATTTGGAAATGAAGGGCAAATTAATGTCTTGTTTTAAGAAACTGCTTAGCCCACCACTGAAGAAAATATCCAGAAATTATTTTCATTTTATCTATAGGGGTTTCTTCCAAAAAAAAAAAAAGAGGAAAAGAAAAAAAGACACATAAAAACAATGTGGGAGCCTGGGGAACTGGCCAGTCTATTTACTTTCAATACACTGATTCTTTGATGTAATTTAGCTATATTAGTGAAGTTGTTGTCTATTTTGAAGGTGGCTGTAAAAAAAAATAAGTTTGGGTAAACCCCTGCTGTAAAATCATGTATCTTTGCAAAGTACATATCTATACTTCATTTTCAAATATATGTGTTTCAGTACTGTAAACTGTACAGATAGCAGTTGTATTTTGTGTGTTTAGACACAAAGAGACAATCATGTCTGAGCATCTATGGAGATTAACAGTTTGTACACAACAGTATGGTTCTGCGAGAAATCTGGAGCAATAAATTTTAGCTTTAAATATTTTTGCCAGTTGTTTCTAGAAACAGCAACAGCACTGGCACTATTTTGCCATGCATCTTTCCGTAGAGACTTGACGCCGAGTTTACAAGACTGAAAGATTGTGATCCATCCAGCAATTACCTTCAGTTGTATTGTTACAAGAGGGGAAGATGTTATGAAAGTTTCAATTAATCTTTTGAGCACTATATTAGAGTAGTGGTTATGCACTTGCATTGCTTACAAACAAGCTGTACAGAAGGTTATACCTCCCAAATCCTTAGTGTAGTTGACTTGTCTTGGGTTGCACTGTAAGGCGGAGTACTCAGAGTAGTTGGAAAATGCAGAATCAGTTGTATAATTTTTCAGTGTTTTATAGGCTATTGAATAAAGTACCAGATTTTAGGGAGAGAAATCTGTGTCTGACCTTTTTCCAGCCCAACAGGGGCTGCATGTTTATTTTGTTATTGTTATTGTTGTTTCTTGTTTAATTTTTTTTGCTTTTATTTTTCATAGGACAAAAATAAAAATAGAGTAACCAAACATTTTAATGCCATGTGTAATGTCAAAAGGATGGTTTTATTCTAACACTTGAATACATTGAGGGCCTCCTGCTTGAGGCATTGCTGGTGTATTTTTAAGTGAATTTGATTAAACATGTTTGTATAAGTCAAGCCCTTTACCTTTTTTTGTCTTCCTTTCTTCTGGTTGGACTAGGGCTCTTCCTCTGGTCCCTCAGTGGAAGGTTCCATTGCTCGCACTCCTGTCCTGATTGCTCCATGCTTTGATTTCTGAAAACAAAACAAAACAAAACAAAATCTGTGCCCCAGTTTGTGAAATTGACAAATGCAAACCAACTGTATCCCCCAACATACTGTCCAGTTCTGCATGCACAAAAAGGATGCTTCATAGGATGTGCGCTACCTTTTCTGCAGGATTTGGTTTTCTTATGCAAGTAAAAGTTCTTAAGACTGCCTAGTTGGAATAAATATTATTTTCATTTTATTTCATTTTTTTTTGCCAGATGGCAAGGACTTTTTAAATTTCAGTAATAAAATACAGTTTTTCAAGAATACACAAAGTATCAAAAGTCTTGTTTCAGAAACATTTTATTCTTTATCCACTAACTAGCTATTTTAGCCTGCTATCATCTTTAGTGTTCTGAAACATATTAGCAAAATGGATCGTGAGAAGAAAAACAACTTAAAGAATGAAACAGCAAAGAAAAGTTTTTAAAGTTTTGGGAAGACTAGCAAGTGAATTAAAAAAAAAACAATTGTAGTTTTGACTAAGAAAAAAGATGATTAAAATCACAGAAGCAGCATTTCCTCATTAGAATCCTGGGGGAAGGGACAAGTAAGGCACTCAAAAGTACTATTATGAAAATAAATGAGATTTTACTTGTCCAGAGTATGAACACATGGTCTTTGGTCAAAAAACCTTGTTTCAGGAAAATCCAATATATTCTATACCAATCAGTATTTACAAATATAAGTTAAGTGTCACATGCCAAAGCATGCTGTGTACTAGTTTTGAGGTAGTTTTCTACTTGCTGTGTGTGCCTCTAAGTCTTTTTCATTGGAACTTCTGTTTCTGCTGTGGGACCGATGAAAAGTAGATGACTCCTTTCTTGTTTCCTTTCTATTATACTCTATTTTATGTTAATTTCTTGTTTGCCAATTTCCTGGTCAATTACAAGTGAGTGAAAACTTACTTTCACACTTGAATAGTAAGATTGCCTTGCTTTTTGTAAAAATAACTATTATTCCACAAATGAAATAAATTTCTATTCTGGCTGTATTAGGCATACAATAACATAAAGATCTCATAGCAATGTAATGAGAGTCTAAAATACGTTCTAATGTTGCATGTTTTTATGTGTTTTTGTTTGATTTTTTTTATAGACTAATGAATTTGTGTATTGTAAGATGTGGTATTTTACATGCCAAATCATTTATTTTAAATGAAAAGAAACCTGTTGATTACCGAAATAGAAAGGTGTAGCTTTTCTTTAATTATCTGATGTTTTTATTCTTGATACTGTTCTTTTATGCCACCCAGTTCTTGCGTTTTGGTTCAAACTCTGTTTATGAAATGCAGGGTGCGTGTGGTGACGGTGAGGAAAGACACTGCTTCTCTGGCCTCCCTGTGGTTTTCTTCCCCTTATGTTCGTGTAATGAGATCTTACAAAACATAATCTGAAGGCAGTGATTTGAAGCTTTTACAATTTTCATGATTCTAAAATTCCAGTGAAATGTAGCTTCTAAAAATCTCACTGTGTTTTTTACATTCATTATCAAGAAAATCCAAATGGTAGCAAAGATAATGTAGATTGTGTGTATTTTCTATACAAGTTAATTTAAATGTTAGATCAATTGGGAAAGGGCTATTATAAGAGGAGTCCACCATAGATGGGGTCATTTCTTGAAAGTGTGACAAGGAGTTCATTTTGCTATCATTTGAGGAGACCTTGTAAAATATAATGCTTTGATACATAGTGCAATGCCCCAATATTGTTCCCAGCTGCCATTCAGCACCTTAATATTTTAAGAACGTCATAATGCTCACTTCCTTCCACACAGAGAGACTTTCCGATGGACTTTGTCTGTCCAATAAAAGCAGAGGCCACCTTGTAAAGAACAATGTTAACATCCTTGGGAGAGAAAATTGTAGTTATCTTCACCATACGTAGGAGTGTAAAAGTGTCATCTGACTGCTTTGTCTCAAATGCTCAACTTCTCAACACACTGGGAGCAAGAGATGGTGGACTCATTATGAATTACTAGTAGCAATTCCAAAATAAAAGAATATTCTCTTCCTTTCATTCAGCACCCCTGGCATGTAACTTGGGCAATTAATGTTGAAGCACAGAAAGTGTATAAGCTGATAGTATCTGTAATCAAATAATGAAGAAAGGAAAGCAGTTAAATGAACACACGATTCAGGGTTAAATATGTTCAGCAAAAAGCTGCAGTGGGTCTTTGATCATAGTTAGATTCACAGTGATATCAAACAGTTGGTTCTCATGTAACAGCTAAATGTTTCAGAATTTGTTTTTATTAAACTTGGCATTTCACACTGAGATCTGTATTCCTAGTGAATAAAACACAGCTACCATGATAGGAAGGATTCCATTTTTACAATTGCAAAAGAGTCAGAGGTATTTCAGAAAGATGGGCCCCAAAATGTACTCCTTTCGCAGTGTTCTCCTATTCTGAACTGTGCAGTTATCTATTAAATTTTCTAATAGATATTGTGTAAGGTGTATGTATGCTTGTGCAATTATTTAAAAAAAGCAGTTTTGGGAAACAGTGTATTTATTAAAGAAAATCACTTATGGGGCATGTACAAAACTGTAAAAAAAAAAAAAAGCTTAAAAAAATCACATTCAATTTGCCCAGTAAAGTTGTTTTTGTGAAATTTCTGTGTTGTTAAATAAAGGACTTTAGTACTCAAAATATCTCTATTTTTCCATGGACAAATTTTATTTGTGGGATTTTAATTAATAAACATATGATGCTGGAAATACAATTTTGTTTATGATAAAAATATCAGAATTCTACACTTACCCTCTGTTAGTGGAACTAATGCTATGTATAAATCTCATAAAATATGCCAATGATATTCAATTTTGCTTCTTAAATATCATTTTTCTTTATAAAAGATAAAAAAAGCATGATTTCTTGTATGTTTCTAAAGGACAACTATTTCACTATAAATTCAAAAGGTCTCCTAATTAGAAGAAGAGCTAAATACATCCAAAGATTTCTTCTTTGCTCTCCACTTTAAATGTTTCAGATTCAAATATCACACGAATTCCTTTTTCTATGAATGAAAAGTCGTGGTGATGATACAGTCATTCATGTGGAGGGAGGTAGTTTGTCTTCATCCATTCCCAGCTGAAGGCTAAGATGACTTTTTCATTGTGTTGTTTTTTCTAAATTATGGAATATTGAGATTTACCTATGTTACTTATTAGTGGTGAATGTGCTTAACTCTTATTTCACTGCTTCTCAGTATAAACACCTATTTTTATACCTTATAATCTATGAGAAATGTAGAAATTTATTTGTTTAATTTGGAAATTCTCAATAGAGTTATAAACATGAACTTCAGGGAGTTGAAGGAATTCATGGCCATAGAACACCATATGAGAAGGACTTTACACATTTATAAAATACTGATTTGTGTGTGTGTGTTTTTTAAGATTTATTTTATTTTTATTGGAGAGGCAGATATACAGAGAGGAGAGACAGAGAGGAACATCTTCTGTCTGATGGTTCACTCCCCAGGCGGCCGCAATGGCTGGAGTTGAGCCAATCCGAAGCCAGAAGCCAAGAGCTCTTCCTGGTCTCCCACGCAGGTGCAGGGTCCCAAAGCTTTGGGCTGTCCTCTACTACTTTCCCAGGCCACAACTAGGACTTTGGATGGGAAACAGGGCTGCCGGGATTAGAACTGGCACCCATATGAGATCCCGGCGCGTGCAAGGTGAGAAGTTTAACCACTATGCTGTCGTGCTCTGCCTCCAATTTCGTTTTGTTAGTAGAATATCATGGTAATAAAATACATGCGGCATGGACTATAAAAGAAGAATTAAGCAACTTGAAATATGAGATCTCCTGAATACTTATA